CTCTGCTTCCTGGCTGCCGTGGCATGAGCCATGTCTTTTACCATGTGCTCCCACCACAATGTACTGCTTTGCCACAAGTCCAAAAGCAATAGGGCCAAGCAACTGTGGACCAAAACCTCCTGAGCAAAAATAAACCTTGCCTCCAAATGAGCTGATTATCTCAGATATTGGTTTCAGTAACAGAATAACATTAATAACATTTGGCATGTTTTCAAGGTTCACCCACATTATCACATATATTATTTTTATGCTAAATAATATTCCATTGAGGAGATATACCACATTTTACTTATTCATTCATAAGTGGGTGGCCATTTGGGTTGTTTTCACTTTGGGGCTGCTTTACAAACATCCTGGTTTCTGTGTGGACTATATGTTCAGTTCTCTTGGGCATACACTTAGGAATGGATCATGTGGTAACTTGTTTTTTTTTGAGGAATTGCTACACCATTTTCACAGTGACTATACCATTTGACATTCCGGCCAGTAATGTACAAAGGTTCCAGCTTCTCCACATTCTCAATGAGGCAGATTTTAATCCAGACTAGGCAAGTCCAGAATAATAACAATAACGAGGGCAACCTGTTGAGTGTTGAATGCACAGGCACGCGGTGCCAGTTAGGATATGTGGTATCATTCTGTCTCCAGACATCACACGAGACCAGTTCTGCTGCACTGAGAAAGCCCCACTCTCACATATCCTAGCATGGCCGCGGAACTTCCCCTGGATTAAGAGCCACAAACACATTTGCAATTATGAATCTCTCAAGAGTGAATCCAAACTAAGCCCCAAGGCAAAGGTTAACTGAGCCAAGTTTATACTGGAAGAGAGGGTAAAGAAAACCAGCAGGCAGTAGGTGAGGGAACAGAGCAGGGTACAGGTGAAGACAAGGAAGGGCCACCCACCTCTCTGGTGGGCAGTCACCACCCATGCAGGGAAGACCCTGAGTCTTCAGCTGGCTGTTCGGTCCCTTGGGCACCTTGATTCACCACCGTAACTAACTCCCTCTTCATTTGCCTCAGAACACTCAAAAGAATTTCTTTGAAGGTGAATGTTTTTTGCCTCTAAAAAAACCCCTGAAAGTCTTGGGAAGCTCTGTGGACATCCAGGAGGGAGGTCTCCTGAGGAGGGTGGGGATTCAGGTGGTACAGACTAGAACTGGAGCAGGCTCTCTCCTTCGTGTCTATCTCATTTCATTCTTACAGCAATGCTCCAAAAGCACCCTTCACACACCTCCTGAACCCTAAACGGACAGGGAAGACGGTGAAATCCTGCAGTCCCCTCTCTGAGGCCGCACCACAGGTGGAGGCAGTGGAGTCTCCCAGGATCTGCATGGCTCTTGGCCCCAGAGTGGACTCCTGCTGCCCTAGCCTACATTTATTTCCCCTTCAGGAATTTTTTTTCCATGACCAAGACTCCCACAGGCAGGCTTACAGGTAGATATCCCTGCCCAGGTTCTAGGCTGGACCAACATAACCAATTCCCTCAATCCAGAACTCATGAAAAAGATTACTAACAGCTCCAAGTACATCTCTCTCGTGTCCCTAACTGATTCTGCTCTGAGTACACCACCAACGACCTCAGTAAATACCAGAGAAAGAAAATAAATGATGGAAGCAAATTTTTCAATAGAATAGAATTCATAATGGAAAATCCTGAAATAGCCCAAGGGTCAGCCAATAGGTGAATGGTTAAATCAATTACAGTGCTTTTATGTAACTCAGTGCTTTGCAAAACAATGAAGTAGAATCTTTACTAAGACAAAATGACAAACATGATGTATTAAGCAAAAAAAAAAAATGTTAGCAACAAAATGTACTATATGATTCATTTTGTGAAATTAATAAGATACAAAAGGGCTCTAAGGTACAGATAAAAATCTCAACTTCACCCTGGCAGTACACTCACCATAGTGATTTCTGCAAAATGAGACTAATGAAGCCTACTTATTTTTTAAATTTCTGTACTGTTTTGTTTTTTGTTGCAAAATACATATTAATCTTGCAAAAATTGAAAAAATAAAAATGAAAAGAAAACCATGTCCTTTTTTCTTTCTGAATGATTTAACCTTAAAGCCAATAGTGAGACAGGAAGCAAGGAGGGTGGGGGAAGGATGCCTGCTATCAGGGGCTGGGGTGGGGGGTTCTTGTTGAGTCATGTACTGGTGGGAGGAAAGTGTGGGGTATGAGGACCTATGAAGGGCAAGAAGAAATTGGTATGGGGAAGACTGCAGAGGGGATGGGTGGTGGGTTCATAAAGGGGGACTGATCATGTAAGTAAATAGATGAAGAATAATAGGAACCATGGGCTAGGGTTGTGGCTCAGTGCCAGAGTGCTTGCCTCGCACTTGTGAGGCGCTGGGTTCAATCCTCAGCACCATATAAAAATAAATAAACAAAATAAAGATATTGTGTCCATCTATAACAAACAAACAAAAAAGTTACAAAAGAATAATAGGAACCAGCCAGGCATGGTGGCACATGCCTGTAATCCCAGGGGCTCGGGAGGCTAAGACAGGAGGATCACAAGGTTCAAGGCCAGCCTCAGCAACTCAGCAAGGCTCTAAGCAATTTAGCAATACCCTGTCTCAAAATAAAAAATAAAAAGGGCTGGGGATGTGGCTCAGTGGTTAAGTGCCCTTGGGTTCAATCTCCAGCACGCATGCACAAGCACACAAGCATGCGCGCACACACACAAAGAATAATAGGAATCAGGTTTCCCAGTGTTGTTTTAACGGGGAGTTACAAAACTGAAAGGAAGACAACTAGAAAGAACATGGATGACAAAAGTGGAAGTGTCGGTATGAACTCATGTTTTTGTTGTTGTTTGTGGTACTGGGATTGAACGAGGAGTGTTCTGCAGCTCAGCTACAACCTCGGCCCTTTTTGGAGACAGGGTCTCACTAACTTGCACAGGCAATTTGTGAGCCTCCTGCCTCAACCTCTTGAGTTGCTGGGATTTCAGGGAAGCAACCACTGTGTCTGACTCCTAGTTCTCAAAAATACATATCTAGATACAGAAATATAGATGTGAACTGTGTGGGAACTTGGTTCTTCCCTACCTCTGTCCTCTGTAAGGGTCTGCAGCAGTGATACTCCAATAGCTACAAGCATCCCCAGCTCTCACATCTTGCTTCCTAATACTATTCTCCATTAAAAGGAATAAGAACTCCCTGGAGAAATAAATGACTGGTACCAGGGTCCAGGGCAAGGAAACTATAAAATGAGCCTGGAATACCTCTTTTGCACAGAGCAAGAAAGTACTAAAAGAACGAGGGGGCATATTGAAAGAATGGAAAAGCAAGCTTTTCTTTTTATTTGTTTATTTAATTTAAATTTTAAGTGTGTGTGTGTGTGTGTGCATGAGTAGCATGCTGGGGATCAAACCTAGGATCTCGCACATGCTAAGCAAGCACCCTACCCCTGAACTACATCCCCAGCCTGAGAAGCAGCTTTTAGAAGCTATCCCTAGCCACAATGGATTATAATCCACTAAGTGAAATATACTGAGGTCCATGTCGAAGGAAACAGAGACGCTAGAAAGAAGGGAGGAAGGGAAGGAAGAACAAAAGAAAGCCCTCTGCTGTGGAGAAGCCTGGAAGAGATGCCAACTTAATCAAAGAGAACGCCATCAGTGGCAGGTCTAAACAAACTAAGTCCCCATCAAGAGAATGCAATGAGAAGCCCACATCATCGTCTCTTGGGTATTCCCATTAAAAAGGCAGAGACTGAATCAAATCGAGAGGATCAGACAGATCCAAGTGGAGGGGCATCCTACAAAATAACCAGCCTATAACCTTTAATAGCATCAAGGTCATGAAGGTCTAGAAAGGTCTGAGAAACTGTTCCGAATGGAAGGAGAGCAAAGAGATGTGACAGCTATGGGCAATGCTTTATTCTAACTGGATCCTTTTCCTTTAAAAGACACTCTTGAGACTGGCAAAGCTCCATGGGGTCTGACAAACTGGATGGCAATCGTGCGTCAACATTAATGTTTGCATTTCTGTGGTATTGGAGAATATCCTTGTTTTAAGAAATACAGGAGTGCATCTGGGTGTGATGAGGCAGAAAGTTGGCAAATTACTCTTGAATGATAAGGCAGTGGGGGGAACCCCGTATTAGACTTCCAAATTGTCTACAACTTTATAGCAGTTTTGCATTTAAAAATTCTTAATTGTAAATGAAAAGAAAGCAATAAAGGTAACATTATGCTAAATGAACAGAAAAATTTTGGTTGTTACACAAGCTTACCCAAGACTCCCAGAAATGCTCTCTGCTGGGGAGTCATTCTCTCCTTGGTTAGATTACCACAGTGCTTAGAGGAACCATCTCTCCTTGGAAATTTCTCCCAATACCAAGTCCCCCACCATCCTCAGACAGAGCCAGTAAGCAGTGGAGCTATTCTAGATTGCAAGCCACAGGAGGGAAGCGAAACTCGGCCTATGTCACTCACAGAAGCCAGTGCTCTGACTCGGCCACTGCTCATACCTCTGTCCATGTGAACCACAAGCTGGCCAAGGCCAAAGAAAAGACCATCTAGGAATGCAGGGAGCATCAAGAGCAAGAGACCACACTCCCACCCAAAAGCCAAAGTGAGGACTGCTCCACTGCTCACTTGCACAGGGCTCTAACATTTCCAAACTTCTTTGCATCTATAATCTGACAAAATCCGCACTAGGAAATAAGCTACAGATTCCCATGCCTCTGCTACCTGCCCCCTTGTGTGGCATTCCAAACTGCCCACCCTCCTTGGTAGCCCCTGCAACATTCACAACGCTATGCAATATGTGTGGTTAACACTGGTCTCCCTCCTGGGCTGCAGCTTCCGGGAGAACGGGGGCCAAGTGTTCACCAACATCCCGGAGTCTCCCACACGGCAGACTTCCCAGGAGTATTTGCTGAATGATCATACGAATGAAAAACTGGATGAATGGGTGAGTGGGTAGGTGGGAGGACAGGGGGATGGCTGACTTAGTCCGCCCCCAGCCGCCCAGCCCTACCTGCTGCTGCTGCGCCCGGAGGTCTCCGATCTCCTTCTGGTCCTCCTCATGGAGCCGCTTCATGTCTTCCCAGGACTGCTGCAGTAGGTTCCGCTCCCGCAGCAGCTGCCCGTTCTCCCGCCTCAGCATGTCCACATCATCCTTCAGCTGAGTCTGGTCACTCAGGAGCCGGCTGTGGAGTGTGCTGAACCCCCACCCACACACAGTGAGTCCCAACCAGACTCTAGCACCCCATCTCCAGGCATTGCCAGTCCCTCCAGCACCCAAGTCCCCAGTAAAGATCTCAGACAGGAGCCCCCGGCAGCAGGGCCAGCAGCACTCAAGACACAGGCCAGAAAGTTGGCAAATTACTCTTGAATGATAAGACGGTGGGAGGAACCCTGGGCCAAAGCCTGTGAACATCCAAATTCCAAAAAGACTCAAACCACTTTTTTAAAACCTGGCATGAAAACGGGCTCATGTATCACAGGGAAAGGACACAAGTCCCCACCTGGCACAGACCTGGTTCCTACAGGTACTGGGACCTCAGAAAACATCAGAAGGCAAATCCCTACAAGGGGGCCAGAAGACCCAAGGAGAGATGCCTGTCCCACAGGTACAAGGTGCAGGAAGGCCCCTGGACAGAGTCCCAGAGATCTGCCCGACCCCCCGCCTCACGTTCACATGGCTCTGCAGCTGGCAGCAGATGACGGAAAGGGTTGACATTCTCCCTCTACCCTTAGGAAAATGGAAACCCAAAGGCACAATTCCTCTTGCAGAGGCAGGAATACAACCAGAGCCCCTGGCACAGGTCCAGAGATAAAGAAGGGCAGAAAGCAGCTGTTCTGCGGGTGCCAGGCCCTGCCGCGCGGGCACACTTACTGGTAGAAGTCGGTCTCCTTGGCCACCTCCTCGCACCTCTTCAAGGCATTGGTGTGCTGGTTCTGGAGACTCTGCAGGTCCGACATGGCCCGCACACACTGGATCTTCAGCCTCTCGTAGTCAGGATTCAGTCTGTGGTAGGGCCTGGCCCCAAAGTAAACAGCCCGTGAACACAGGCCCCAAGAGTCACATTGACCTGGGGTCAGCACCCCCCACCTCCCTAGTGCTTGTTAAACTCAGCTAACCCAGCTCCCCAGACCAGCAGAAGCAGGATCCCTCAGATGAGAGTAGCCTTGACTGCCTGAACCTCTCTCTCTTGGAGAGCCAAGAAGTGGCTGCCTTGCTTTCTGGGAGGTTCTGGGAGTCTGGGTCTACCAGCAACCTGTGATGAAGTTTCTCCTGTCTTCAGAACAGTGATTCTCAATCTTGGGTACAGATCAAAACAACAATGACAAAACCTGTTACGTCAGCATCTCTGGAGGTGGGACCCAGACGTCGGAATTTTTTCTTCCCCCAATGCTAGGAGTTGAACCCAGAGCCTCACACATGCCAGGCAAGTGCTATACCATGGAGACATACACCCTGGCCCAAATTTCTTTTTAAATTCCCCCTGGGGGTTCCAACGTGCAATCAAGGTTGAGAACATTGACCAAGAACACTGGTTCTCAAAATGGGCCTCCCAGATTTACAGCTCTGGTATCACCCGGGAACTTGTCAGAAATGCAAATTCTCAGACCCAGTCGCAGACCTCCAGAATCACATGCTCCAGAGAGAGGGAAGGTTAACTAGCATAGTGTGCTTTAACCAGCCCTCCAGGGAAATTCTGTGCATGCTTAAGTTTTGAGAATCCCTTCCCTAGAGAGAAATCAGCAACCGTTTTTCAAAAAGGGCCAGATATCGAATTCTTTGTGCTTTGTGGGCTACAGAGTACCCTTCTAGCACAAAAGCAGTTGTGGACAATATGTAAATAAATGAGCATGGCTGTGTTTATTTGTGAAACAAGGGACTGCATTTGGCCTTGGGGCCACAGTGTACCCACTCGGGTTAGGATGTCCACGTTTTCTCTCATCTTGTCTTTGTGCCATCTGACTAAGGAGCATATCCTCCTAAAAACCACTTCAAGAATCAGGCTTTGCGGATCTGGGGTTGTGGCTCCGCAGTAGAGCACTCGCCTAGCATGTGTAAGGCCCTGGGTTCGATCCTCAAAACCACGTAAAAATAAATAAAGTTATTGTGTCCAACTACAACTAAAAATAAACATTAAAAAAAAAACAAAAACCAGGCTTTGCAGCCCTAACATATACCAGAAGCACAGACCCTTTCGTAATAGGAAGAAGTTAAATCAAACTGTTTACACCAATTCTCTGCCCTAAGACGCCCACCAGCATGGGAGCTAAAGGATAAATGGCTCTCCGTCCCTCCTCCATCAGGAAGTCCTCCTGGATCATGCAGGTACATAGACTCTCTGTGTCCCACTCAGCGGCTCTAGTATGTACCTCTGAATCCCAACCCAAAAAGCTAAGATCTCCTTCAAAATAATAAAGACCCCAAGTGGACTGAACCCTTCCTAAGACACAGGTGGCAGAGAACAGTTAATGTATTCACAAACCAAAGAATATTCCATTCAGCAACAAGGCAGGCTGGGGTCTTCTAGGAGACAGAGCAGGTACGTGTACACACACACACACACAGCCCACCTCTCAGATAAGCACTCCACTCCAAATGCCTGATGGGGACATACCACACACCGCCTTCTCCATCTCTAAGCTGTGTGACTCAGGCCACAGCCTGTTTTTTATCTGGAGGAAGCAGGACAAGCCTGTCTGCCCCCTCCCCTGCCATAGCCTCCAGGTTCTGCCTCTGGGGAGCACTTAGGGATGTGGGGTTTGGACACCCTGGCCTTGCAGCCTGGACCCTGAGAGCTAAGGGTAAGTGCGAGAGGGGACAGCACTGACGTCAGCACCCTAACCCCTGCCCGTGAGGCTGGGCAGGCGCAATTAATACCTCTTATCAAAGGTCGTCCCGTGGGTCGCAAAGGCCAGGCGTTTGCGCAGCTCATTCCTCTCGCGGGTCATCAGCCGCAGCTGAATGGACAGGTTCTCCACCTTCTCATTCGCCTGCCGGTCGGTGAGGAGGGGCGGCGGGGACGGCGCCTTCCCAGTGGTGCCTGTGGGCAGTTACACGAGTGAACTTGCACTTGGACAGTACTCAGGAGGTGCTGGCACTCTTCTGAGGTCATGGCTACTCACAGCCCCACGGGCTGGCTCCTGAGCGTCCCCCTTCACAGGAGAGAACACCAAGCACAGACAGCTGAGGCCAAGCTGCCTGGCCTTGGCTGGGGACACCCACCCTCTCCCCAGCCAGCTTTGACACCTCCAGGAGGAACCTCTGTGGCTCTGCCTGATCTAGAAATGCTAGCTATCCCCCAGCCCTGGGCAAGGCACAAAGGGCAGGACACACATCTCTGAGCCCTGAACAAAGACCTGAGGAGGAAGACACACTTGGAACCCAGCAAAGCTCCCAAGGAGCCGGGCAGCTGCCCCAAGGCCACGTCCCTGTCCTCCCCACTGCAGCAGAACACTTGGCTCAGCTTCCCAGCAGTCCCCCACCTCTGCTGGACCTGCCCTCACCAGTCTTGGAGCGCCGGCTTGGAGGGGGCTGCTGGCTCATGGCCGAGCTAGACGTGATGCTGCCCAGCCCGCACCATGCCCTCACTGCCTGTCCCCAGACCCTCATGCCTACTAAGGACAGACATCATCACCACCTCTGACAAAGTCAAATCCATCTCTAGAAAAAAAAACAACTCCTCAGATGTCCTGGAAAAGATGGATCCATGGCGCTTTATGGTCAGCACGGTGGGTACCTCCACCTGGTGCCTCGTCTAACCCTCGGAGACCTCGGGGAGGTCAGATGAGCTCACGGCAGCCCTCTCATGGGATCAGGGAGGCCAACTCACCCCAGCACGTGCAGAGGGAAGGAGGCACAGCTTCGCCCCTCCATACTGTCCTACTCACCCCCTCCTGCCGATCCTTGGAGGATGACAACTTGTGCAAACCAAGCGTCCCCCCCGGACAAGAGCCAGGGCTTGCTCCTTCAAGGAGTGCCAGGGAATCCAACAGCACAGGCGCCTCAAGCCCTGCGCCTGGCGCCAGCCGGGGTTTCAGGTGGTAGTGTCGGCCATCTGGTCTAGGACCCCCGAGTGCTCTTTACTTCAAAGCCACCACCACAACAGCCAGGATTCCCGTGCTGTAGGCCAGCCTCAGGGTCAGAGCGTTCTCAGGAAGTGGGCTGGGGGCCAGAGTTTCCCAGGAGTAGCTCTGCTCCTCGAAGCGGCTCTACTCACAGCTTCTGAAGCCTTCCCTCCCCTTTCTCCCGCGAGACTGGTCTCCTGCCCCCAGCAGCTCTGGAGGTGGGGCTGGCAAGGGCTCTGAATCTCCTGCTTCAGAGTCCCTGACTCCGACAGGTGAGGCTTCCTCTGGACACACCTGATGTCCCTTCTGGGCATGCCTACCACTTACCTGCTCGTCAATCTCAAGGGGAAATTACCCACGGAGGATCTACCAGCCCAAGACTGTGGGCTGAAAATACCAGAGGAGCACCCAGAAAAGCCGGTTCCAGAGCTCACAGTCATGCCCACCCACACAGCAGCAGCCAAAGAGGACATCTCAGGCATTAATTCAACCACTGCAACCACCCCACAGATGGAGCCATAGCAAGCTCCCCACCTTACAGGTGAAGAAATGAGGCCCAGCTAGGTTAGATAGTTGACAAATGCTCCCAATTAGCCAGGACAAGAGGAGAGACTGGGACTCCACATGCTACACCCCGCACCTCCCTACCTCCCTAACCACGTGCACCAACATCTTGAAGGATGGTCAGCCTGCGGTGCGAGACTGTGGGGAGCTCTGGGTTCTGGTCCCCACAGAGTCCTCCCTGAGCCCTAGACAGATGGTTATGGGTTAAATTATGGTCCCCAAAAGCTTTTTTTATATATTGTTAGTTGTTGATGGACCTTTTTTTTTTTTTAATATGTGGTACTGAAAATCAAACCCAGTGCCTCAACATGGTAAGCAAGCGCTCTACCACTGAGCCACAACCCCCGAGCCCACCAAAAGATATGTAAGCACTAATCCAGCAAATGTGAAGGGGAACGTTATTTGGAAATAGGGTCTTTTACAGATAAACAAGTTAAAATGAGGTCACATTGGAGCTAGGTGAGCCCCTAAACCAATAGGGCAAGTGTCCTTATTAGAAGGGAATATGTGCAGACAGACACGCACGCACACGTGCAAACACACACACACACATATACACACACACACACAGATGAGGACAATGCATCCAAAGTCAACACGCTGAGGACCAAGGGCAAACCACCAGGAGCTGGGGAAGGGCCTGGAACAGATGCTTCCCAGCACCTTCAGAGAGATGACCTGCCAACACTTTGATCCTAGACTTCTGTTCCCTAGAACTGTGAGACAGCGGCGTTCCTGTTGTTGAAACACCTGGTCTGGGGTGCTTTCTTATGTCAGCCCTGGCGAACTCTTGCAGACCAGACTGATGCTGGTACCTGTCGGCCCCTCTCAGCACACTCACCTCCTGTACCCCAATAGTCACTGCCCCCCCCCCAAGATCCAGGAGCCAAGGGACCACATCTGCCCTCGATCACACGTCCACCCCAGGCCCAGGAGAGAAGTTCAGGATGTGCATTGACAATGGGACATCATCCCTGGCCAGTTCTGGAATCTCAGGCATGAGACTCCCCCCGGGGTTAGTTTTCCCATCTCCCTAGAGTGGGAAAGTAAAACACCTGCACCAAATGACCTCTGTGAGCCCTTCCAGCCCAAAACCTCAGGACTCAGCACTACAAATGTACCCATCCATCACAGAGGGGACACCAGAGACCATCCCAGGGCTCAGCACAGGGAACGGGCCTGAGGTGCTGCAAGGCTGTGGGTGCCTTACAACCTTCCTGCTGGTACGTCCCTAGAGAACTGAAGGAGGGCCGGCCTCACTTTGCAGACTTCAGGAACCCAGGCTCAGGGAAATATCCAGTTAAGCATGGATTGGCTGTTCCTGTCCTCGGGGCACTCTGCCCTTCTTACAGAGGGAAGCCCCCAAAAGGGTCAGTCTCACAGAGAGTGGTCACGAAAGTACTATGAGGCCTTTGAAGTGTGTGACAGGTGCGGACAGGCTCATGAAGAAAGCAGATGCCCCATCAAAATGTAAAGGCAAAACATCCCCATGCCCACCCCTCCTAGAACCAGGGCTGGATTTTTGCTGCCAAGAGAGAATGTGAACAGCATCAACACAGATGATCCCACGAATGGTCTGCCAGCTTCCCCTGCCAGGAACCCTTCAGGGCTGTCCCGTTCACACGCAGAGCCCTGACCCACCTGCCATCCTGCAGGAAGGAGGGCATGGGCAGAGGTACTCACCCACACTGCTGAGGGAGCTGCTGCTCTCTGAGTCCGAGGGCATGATGGACAGGACACTGTAGGTGGAGCCTAGGGACAGAAGGGAGACCATTTGTTACGACTCCAAGGGGCCATTTGTCCATTCCCCAAGCACTGGCAGAGAAGCCCACCATCAGTCAACGTGAGGCCAGGAGCCAGCGCCAATCCAGGGCCTGTGGACCTGCAGTTGAGGGCAGAGGTACGGCTGGCAGGAGCTGGACTGGGGGGCTTCCAGCCAGCCTTCTGCCTCACCTTACCCCCCATGTGTCTGCTCCAGAAACTGATGGGCAGGGGAAACTGGAGTCCTCTTGTTGGGACACCTGGGGGAAAACTTAGTCAGGGGAGCACACTAGCCACAGTGGGTTGTGGGCTTTCCTCCAGAGCTTTGTCAACATGGCTGGCTTCCGTGCAGAGGGCAGCAGCATGCACTCAGCACCAGCCAACTCTACTCTTTCCCTGACTGTCCTGCTCGTATGTCCTCACTGCATGTAAGCTCAGTCCTGATTTAGTCAGTGTCGGCCTCTTAATAAAAGTTGCTCACTGGCAGCACAGCTCAGTGGCAGAGCATGCACTTAGCATGCCTGAGGCCTGGGTCAAATCTCTAGCACCAGAAACAAAAAAAGAAATCACTCAAAACATTATGAGCAATTACACTATCAGAGAGCCAAAGAGCAGTGCATGCTTTGGGTAGTTTTTTGTTTTGCTGTTGTTCATTCCAGGTGATTTGGTTTCAATTCCAGTATTTTCAAAACCCGATATGACCTGACTGGCATTAGGAAAAACCTCTGGATTAGCTCGGTTTCTGAGCCGGCCCTGCTCATGAACCAGAGGCTGGTGATACGGAGTGAATTGCTTCCGTCTTCCGGACTCTGTTCCCCAGTCTGTACGCTGGACAGGTTCAGTCCCATGGTTCACAATGCCCCGTCCCATCCCATTCCCACTGAGCAGTGCAAACAAAGAGTGAGCTTTACTCTTCAAGGCCGCAGCTAATGCAAAATTTAAAAAGAGGGCAAATCGGGGCCATCGGGAGACAAGACTGGGAGTCACAAAAAGATCAAGGGGCAGAGATGCAGGTCCCCCAAAACAATATCATGGGAGGAATAGGATGTCTTGTTCTTGGAACCAAAGAACCACACAATGAAGAAGGGTACCGACTGGCAGGGCGGGGAAGCCCGAGGTGGGATTTTGCAGGAAGGGCTTAATGCAATAAGTCTGAGGACTCTGGGCCAGAAGGCTACAAGAACTAACGAGATCTCAGGCTCCAGAAGCAGAAAAGCAAGTCCAGATTTAAGGAGTTCTCTTCCATCTCAACACACCCTCAGATGGGAAAGGGGTGAAGGGATGGGTCAAATAGGAAAGGAAGGCAGGAGGCTCCCCAGAGGAAGAGGCTCTGAGGCTGTGGACAGGAGAGACCCCCAGGGGACAGGGATACCTTGGGTGGAGGATGAGGACCATATATGAAGGGCAGAGATACAATCTTAATATAGAGGCATGCCAGTGAGCTCACAAGCATGCCCATCAGGAAGAGATGAAGGGGAAGAGAAAACCAGAAAAGAAGGGACTTTAGGAATGGCAAGGCCAGAGGCCAGGAAGGACAACCGCCTCGTTATCAAGCTTTCTGTGAATCTCTGAAGAACCTGAGGGTTTAGCATGGACTGCAGGGAACGGGAAGGTTCCCGCCTTCCTACAGTGCTGTCAGAGGGATTCAGCATGCTCTGCATGGTCTACGGAGCAGAGATGGGAACAGGGGTGAACCGTCTGCATGCTGGGCTGCCTCGAGATGGAAGGTCAGGAGGGAAGGCACAAGGCCAGCACTCACCTGGAACAGGTGTCCTAAGGGCCACGGCACCTCACGTGAAGGGAGATGGAACCAAAGTACCCCATCCACCCTAAAATTACCCACTAAATGGCCCTATTAAAAGCGAATAAGCCACATTCAGCCTTCTGTATTCCAAGCCCAACACACACCACTATTAACGGGTTTTTTAATTTTGTTTTTGTTTGCAATTCTGGGGATTGAACCCTGGGTGCTCTACCACTGAGCCACATCCTCAGCCCTTTTCATTTTAATTTTGAGACAGCGTTTGGCTAAGCTGAGGCTGGCCTCCACCTTGCAATCCTCCTGTCTCACCCTCCCAAGTTGCTGGGATTACAGGTGCTGGCCACCACACCTGGTTTTCCATGCTATTCAATTTACCATGCATTTAACACCTCTACGTTTTTGCTCTCAATTAAACAAGGAGATTCACAAATTTTTTGAATCATCTCTCTTTCCATACGATAAGCTCAACGCACTCCAGGCCACCCACAGTCACCAACAAGGAATAAGAGTCAAACACCATGTCTACTTTCCAACCTCAACTGTCATCTTTTAAATCTCCTTGCTCTCTGTGGGGGCAAGGAAGGCTGGCTGGCACCTTGGTGGGTTGTTTTCCAAAGATGCCTACTCGGGAAAGCAGGTACAAATAAACTCTCCCTCTCACACCTCCAGGAACCTCCGTCTCAGCTCAGCCCTGCCTGGGACGCAGGCGGCCAGAGCCCTGGTCCAAGCACTGCGGGAACGGAACGCTTTGCTCCTTTCTCGTTACTGGCACCGGCAGTGCCCCATCTTCCAGTAAGCCGCCCTCCTCTTCAGATCGTCTCTCTCCTCCCCATGGCCAGTTTCCACTGTTAATTACACTTGGCAGGCACCCTTTCTTCTCTCCACCCACCTCCCTCCCTAGCTGGGGGAGTCCACGGGCCAACCAATACATTCTGTTCCTCTTCCCTGTCCCCAAAGCCCGACGGGGCTCTGGGGCCTGACCTGGGGCAGCATGACATCTTTATCTGCATCTCTGGGCATCACCCCACCCAACCCCAGGCAGCTGGCAGGGTTCCCTGGGGCCAGTGGGGGTCGTGATTAACATTGGACAGGGTCCAGTTATCACAATGTTCCCAGAGCCTTGGACATCACAAAGGGGGAAAGGCCCAAAGATGACATTGTCTTGGTAATGCTTTGTCTCTGCAGCTGTTGTCTTAGGCCTGTGTGGTCAGAACCGTCTGGAAAAAGCAAAAGGAGAAACTCTCCCCCTCACCCCCTCCCCCCCCCCAGTCACGGATGTCCTTTCAAAGTCAGTGGCTTCACTTCCGTGGGGCTGAGGGGTGGATGTTGGGCGTCATCGACCTCTAGGGTTTCACAATCAGATTCAGAGGTCACCAGAAGTCCCTTCGCAGCCAGGCACTCAAGGATGCCCTGCATGGCCCCTCACTCTGACTTGACCCAATCCTAGGAAGGGTGACAATTCGTCTGGATCCCCTAAGTCACCTCACCTTCTTACCTACCCTGAAACCTGGAACAGCCCAGTGTCATGTTGGGCCCTCAAAGAGGGTCCACCTCACAGAAAGGCCCAAGCCACTGAGGACCACAGGATCAGCCTGGCTCCCCCCCTTACCCCCCACCCTGCAGGGCTGCAGGGTGCTCCCCCCAACTCCCACATGCCTCCCAGAGAAAGTGGAGTCAAGTGGAAACAGTTCCAGAAGACAGGAGCTGCAGGCCAGCTGTTTGGATGTGTGGGACAGAGGTCACACATGGGGGACTCTTCACTGTCACAGCGATTGCCAGGGGACCTGGAGGAAGGGCAGGTTTCGGAGGGGCCTGAGACTCTGCACAGCTAAGGGGACCCCAGGGCACATGGCCCACAGCCCATCAAACCAAGCCTCCTCTGAAGCCCTGGGGGAGGCGGAAGCCTTGGAAGGGAGCCGGCCTGGTGGCCCTGTGGGGCTAACCCGGCCCCGGGCATTGTCTGCGTCCCTTGGAGCCCAGGCCCTGCTTATTCTGTTTACTCTGTGACTCAGCCCCATTGGGTCACTGAGCCCACTTCAAAAGAACTTCCAGTAAAATCACCCTAGCGATAAGGGAACACCCCAGGCTCCCAGGCTCCTCGGGCAGCCCGCCAGGCCCAGCAGGGATGAGAGTGTCCCTTGGGCACCCCTCAGTTCACCTGGAACCTTCATCACCCTGTAACTCCTGCCACAGCCGGACTTGCTCCACCTCTGAGCCAGCACAGGGTCCCCCACCTGCAGGGGGTCCGGGCCAGCAGGAAGAAGGTGGCTTGCCGGGCCCACCCTACTGCTGCCTCTCCAGCTCACAGCTGACTAGCACATGTCCCTCAAGCCCCCCACACGTCCTGTGTGCTGTGTGGCCCTGGGCCAGGTTTTGAAGGAGACAAGCCAGAGGTTCAGAAGCCCCAAGGTTGCTTACCAGCTGTGAGACTGGGGGGGGGGGGGTCATTCCCCTGTCTGGACTTCAGGGCCCAATGACATGTGAATGACTAGAACACAGAATAACTAGCACAGATCAGCCTGCCTGAGTTCAACTCCCAGCTCTGTCCCTCACCAGCTGTGTGCCCTCAAGCAAGTAGCTGAGTCTCTCTGTGCCTCCATATGCCCACCTATAAAATGGGATGATAGGAACACTAACCTCATGGAGCTGCTATGGGGGCCAATTTAGTATATGAAAAAGCGCCTAAAACAGCACCTGGCACTACCAGTGTCTTGGGTGTTAGTCATTGTGATTATGGCAAACCAGTCCTGCAGAAGGCCCTTCCCACCCTGACTTTCTTGATTCCTAGATTACCTAAATTGAAAGCCCTGACATAGTGATGAGGTCACAGGCCACAGAGGCAAACTGCCAGACTGTATGGCACTCTCTAATAACAGTAACAGCAGCTAATAGGTACTGAGCACTTAGGTACTGGGACTGTGCTAAGCACCTTGCATGCATTGCCTCAATTAACTCCCATAATAATCCTGAGGTTGTCATTAGGTCCCTTTTACAGAGGAGAAAACTAAGGTTACAAAATTTAAGCCACCTGTTTGAGCTCATGATAGGGCCCCTACCACAGAACCCCAGGCAGTCTCCTTCAGAGCCAGTCCCCCAACCCCTACATGCACTGCTGCCGCTGGGCTCTACAGCGAGGAGCCGTCAGGGAAGACTGCAGGAAGGAAGGGGCCCAGAGCTGGCCTGGGAGGATGGTGGATAAGCACATGAGAAGCAGTATCTCCCCCTGTGG